GTCTTTCGATGTGACATTTCTGTCTTCTCTGTTTTCAGTCCTTGGCCCCGGTGTTGTAGTTCTGAGCTCCATGGACCTGTTGTTTCATTCAGTGCAAACGAGGTTGCGTTACATAGGTCTGCAAAGAAACAACATGAAACTGAAACAAAAATTACAGTGATACACGTGTTTGTGTATGAGGGAGATCAGGAAAAATTAACAGTTCCTGCTACAGGCAAGAGAAATGCATCAGAAACTAAAGCCAAATTACCACAGGCCATTGCTGGGAGTCGTGGGAAAAGGTGTTTCTCCTCCCTCCCTCCCTCCCTGTCTCTCCTTGCCCTGGGCTGGCAGAGCAAGGGCAGAGCCTTTTGGCAGATTTTGTGTTAGGAGCCGTACTCCCTTTGTTAAGTTACAAGCAAGCGGCACCACGAAGGTGGGCACCATTTGTTGTGAGCCTACCAGCACTCCCAACCTCTTTAGTAGCCCTCAGAGAGCAGAACCCCAGAAAAGGAGTGTCTGACCATCGCCTGCCCTGCACCTTGCCAGTACCTTCCCAATCCCGCCATTGTTTCCACCATGCACCACAGAGCTACTACAAAAGAGTTTCCCTCCATGGCAACAGACACAATGGCCAAGGTCCGGGTGGTTTTCTTCATCCTGGAGAATTTTTTTTTGCATGGATTTATATCTCCAGCACTCAGGGCTAAGTCTACTTTACCACAGTTTCCTATGCACTAGCAGCGGGTTCCTCCACAGTCCGGAAAAGCAGCAAGGAGATCTCCCATTTCCACTTCCAGCATATGCCAAAATTTGTGGAAGGGTTGTCAGCCACACCTGTGCTCCATCAGGTTCTGTCCTTCCTAGGAGGTTTTAAAAGAAATCTTACACATGTCCTAACAGAAGATATCTGGCCCAAGGCAGGATTAGGTTTATAGACACCAAAGGAACATTTATTCTGCTAGGGTCAGCCTTGGGGAGAACACATGATCTGTTCCACCATGGCTAGATAGACTGAGGAGGTGAGGGAAACCAAGGAAAAGGAAGAGAAAAGGGGAACCAAGTTAAAAAATTTAATTTGAAGGGTTTTTCCACTTTTCTTCACACTTCTGCTCCCAACCCGAAGCCTTGTAACACATACTGCAGGAGACACTGTCAGCAGGTAGATGCGAGAATGGTCTTTGAGAAAATATTTGAAGCTACGTCTTGCTCACAGAAAACATGACTATATTGGTAACCTGGTGGGATTTTTTCTCCCTAACAGAAATTGCAAGGAGAGAAAACTCCGAAGAATATTAATGCTACTCTCAAGGAATTGTTTGAGATCATTCCCGGGGATGGGGATCCACTGCAGGAACGAGGCACTTACACGTGCAAACGGTGCGCCATCGTGGGCAACTCTGGGAACCTTCGGCAGTCTCAATATGGCCAAGATATTGACTCCCATGACTTTGTGCTCAGGTGAGTAGGCGTTACCTCGGCTCCAGATGTCTCTTGTTTAAGATTCACTGGTATTTTGAGTGGGCAAGTGAGCAAACAAGATTTTAGGGGCTATCTAGTGAAAACTAGTACTTAGGACAAATACAAGTTCTATGGATATAAACTATTTGTGTTGGAGGTATGGTCTCATGTTTTAGCTTGGAAAAAAACTCATGAGTAAGTGTTGATAGTATGGCTTGTTCTGCGCTGTCCATAATTTCCTCTGTTAAAAAACATACCTGAAAAAACTTGCAGTCTTGAGTAAGAGTTATTTCTGCAGCTGGTACTCACAAGTGATCTTTTATGCATTTAACTGACTGTATCAGATTTGACTTTCTTGAACTGGTTCATTCTTAAGCAACGACAGGGTGGGAAAGCCAAAGTCTCTTTGCAATGGACAGGAGACAACTGGTTGGCTTCAGATACCTTGTAAAGGGTCTCATTGCCTCTTTCTTTTGAGGCAATGAAGGTTGCCTGTTTTGTCCCACTGAAAAGCAAGTGGGAGCTAGGTAAGGAGAACTAATCGCCCCGAGGGCAACCAAGATATCTGGGCTGACTAAGTTCATCTCCAATGTGTTGTCCAGCTTTCACACCACAGTTAGCAGTGTGCAGCAATTTGGGGAGCAATGCAGGACAGGTCAGAGCACCTGGAAGGGAGGGATTGCTATTGAAAATACCACATGTGGGATTATACACTCAGAATCAACATAACCTTTAGCAGGAAGCTGTGTGCTGAAGTCAACAGTGAATCAGCAGCAGATCAGCACTATTTGAACTAGGCCACCTTAGGTCACTTGGCTTTCAACGTGGCTTGGACACGCTATAGAGTCTTTAGATAACATGTAAATGTTCATGATAAACCACTTAAGGAGTTGCTTCCTTTAGTTGCATGCCTTGCCCTCTGCCAGAAGTGTCTCTCCAAAAACAGAGGCAGCTGACCTGGTCTTCAGATCCACGAAGGGACATGAAGAGCCCTTGACATTAATCCTGCAGGTTGCAGATGTGAGGCAGCTGAGGTGCATTTATGTTTAGTTCCATGACCCTTGCTGTGGAGACAGCCCCGTTCCTGTGTGGACTTTCTCATCTTTCCTGACCTGCATTTCCAGATTCATTCAGAAAAGGCTTTTCCAGGCTCAAAAGCTGTTTTTTGCAGTAGTAACTAAAGAGTACCACTCAGGTGCATGTTTCTGCTCTTAGGCCTTGCCCTTCCCACAGCCGTGCATCCCTGGCAGGGGAGAAACAATCTGTGACATGGAATTGAACATTACAGTCTCAAATTTATGTTTTAGCAAACTCAAGTGAGACCTGAAGGGATGTCACAAGGTTGTAGGATTCACCGTGGAAGTTTGTGCAGAGAAGGTGATCCTTTTGTGTGTTAAAACAACAAACAAAATCTTTGGTGACCTGATACTCACTTACTCTGGCAGTACAGCCAAGAATGGGGAAGAGCCAGGGAGTCTGAGGGCATACCTTTCCTTCAAAACACCATGTTCCAGCCCACTTTTATTTGTTTAGCTATCTACTTGCATGAGAAAAGGAAATTCCTGCTCGGACCTTCCTGCTCAGCCTGGGTGTGAATGCAGCCTTCTGCCACGCCGTGCAGTCAGCTCCATCAGGCATGATGGGGAAGGTACATAGACCTGAGGGCAGGGTTGAAAATTAAAATGCCACCCTTAGCTTTGTCCTGATGGCAAGAAACCCCCATGTTTTATACCTTAGACTGACTAATCTTAAGATAAAACATTGTAAGTCTCACCATTTACTGAGTATTTCTACACAATGTGATGTGGGTCACTGGCAGGGAAGAGGCTAACTCATTAACGAGTCCACACAGGCTGGCAGTATAGTCTGCCTACGCTAATATCTCCCTTTGAGGAAGCTAAAAGAAACTTAACTAATTCACCTGGGCAAGCACTGCAACAACACAGCCTAGCATAGACTTGATAAACAGATTTTACCTTCCCCATTTTCAGTGACCAGGGCAGCACATTGTCTGGCAACATACAATGGTCCTCACCATCTCATCAGCTACATCAGTCCTTGTCCTCCCTTCACTTATGCCAGCAGCTGAGCTAATTTCTCTGCAGAAGACTCCACTGGGCTGCAGAGAAACCCCATTCTGCTCAGAGCCAGCTTGGGGATTTCACCATGGGGTTGCACAGAACCATGGATTCCTGCAAGGCCAGTCAGGGCCAGTTAGAGGATCTCTTATGTGCAATATGCTGCACCACAGAAACATGTAAATCTCTACTGCAGTGAGCTAATGCATCGGGGAAGGAATTGCTGAGGTGTTGTTGGATTTGCTTTCAGGAGTGAACATGAGTGTAGAGGCATTTCTGCAGCCCTGATTTCAGAAACACCCCCTCTGTTCCCTGATATGCCCAACATAAGGTAGCCCTGTTTGGCCACCACATTTTGACTGAGCCTTGATGGGCCCTGGGCAGATCTCTGTCCACTCCCATTCAGTCCAAGGAATCCCACACTAAAGCTGAGCCTTCATTTACTTTTAATTTATCCTCTATGGATGATGGTAATTTCATCCTGCTTGAGGACAACTACATCCTGTCAAGGATGGCTAAAGAGCCTGCATACAGCACTCTCCTTAGCCATGGGAGCATTTTCCTGCCACCTCAAGCAAATTATATGGGGAGGAATCCCATTTGCTTGTACCTACCTAATCCCTCTCCCACTTCCTCACTCTCTCACTTCTTACTTTTGGATTGCAGAATGAACCGTGCCCCCACCACTGGCTATGAATCAGATGTTGGGAGCAAGACCACTCACCACTTCATTTACCCCGAGAGCTACAAAGAGCTGGCAGAAAACGTGAGCATGATCCTGATCCCCTTCAAAACCCTGGACCTGCGCTGGGTTGTCACCGCTATCACCACCGGCACCATCAACTTGTGAGTAAGGGCAGCCCTGAGTGGGCAGGCTGATGGAGTGGGAGCCCCCACATGTTGCTGTAGGACAGAGAAGCCCATGCGGGGCAAATCCCCATTTCTGATGAAAGCTTTACAGATCCTCTTATGTCAGGGTTCAGTCATGAACTCCTGCTTTCTAGGAAAAGCTTAATCCAATGGTGCAGTCTTTGAGGTGGAAATCTAGATCCAGCTCTTCACAACCCAACACGGTGGTCTCAGAGAAATGAAAGAGGGAGTTTTTGCTGCTGGAGGTAGTCAGTTTGAACAGCGGCTTCTTGGGCTTTGGGGTTGAGTGCCTCATTCTGGACTTCTGCTCATCCTTCCTCCTCTCCAGTCCCTTGGGAGTAGAGTGGGTGCAGCCGGTGTGCCCGTACCCAGACATACCCATGAGAAAGCCATTGCTGAATCAGGTGTTTGGTGGGTTATTCATTCAGCAATAGTTCTAGACACCTGGATTATCCCACCTGAGACACTTAGGTGATCAAGTGGTCCTCCAGCATATATTATCCCACTTGCAGAAGGGGCCAGGGAGGCAGAAAAGGATGTGCAGGCTGCTAATCCAGTGAAATACATGACATTTGTACTATGTGTGAGGTTATCTGCTGGATGTAAAACCACAGTCTGTTGGGACTGCTCAGTGGCGCCCTGCTCCACATAGACGGCATCAGCAGATCAGATTACTTTATTCCAGAAAGAAGTATTTCAAGACATTTCAACTTTCTTCCCAATTTCAGAGTCTCAGAAGATTAAAAGAATGGAAAAGTATGTCCCTGTTGACTGGTGATAAGACCCACTTCACATTTTTAAGGAAAACTTTTTGATGGAACAACAAATAGAACTTTATTTCTTTTTTCTTTTTTTTCTCTCTTTGGAAATGCATTTTAGATTCTTTTCACTTCTTACTAAGATTCTCTTAACTTGTAACAAATGATGTTTAGTTCCTATTTACCTTTTTTTCTTCCCCCAGCACTTAGTATATACAGTCATAAGTTGTCTTGAAAAGTCCATCTTCTGGACACACATGTAACTCAGAAAAATCAGACCACTTAGAAAATTGGCTAAAAAATATCAATGACATTTCATGCAAGGCTTAGGGGGGTTTGTTTTTTTCAGAAGATGTATTAATAAAATGGTTAAGAACCTCCATCCTTAAGACTATATCCAAATCCCATCAGAAGCTATGGAAAGCTCCCAGCTTCCTTCAATGGCCTTTGAATGAAGCCTCTTGCTGCTTCTTTGTCAAATCCCTGCCTGTGCTAGGAAGAGGAGCCCAGAGAGGGTCAGTTGCTGCCACTGTCACCCATCTATGTTTCCATCACTGTTACTGCTCTGTGCACAGATTGCAATTCTGTTTTTAATATTTTTTGTTGAGTATTTACCTTCAGAAGTGGCAGCAAGTGGGTTGCAGCAGTAAAGTTGAGTGAACACTTAGCCTGTCAGGAAGATATAATTGGTTGACTAAAAGGCAGTCACAGTACATGAAAAGAAAAATATCTTTGCTTAATAAATTACAGGATGTATTATATATTTATAATTAGATTGTATACATGGGCTTGGTAAGCATCTGGTATAAATTAGTGTGTGAGTATTTAACCACATAGAAGAAATATCAGTATTTTAAGATTTTTGCCATACTCAAAGCAGAGAAATTGCACAATTAATAAGCTGGCATATGCTGGAGAAAATCATAAGCACACAAATTATAACAAAACATCATAATTTTAGGCTAGCAGAATAAACCTATGAGCATGCATTAAACACACACTGTCAGATACAGTGTGTTAGGAAATTGTTGACTGTACATCTGTAAAGGGGAGAACACATCAGATAAAAATAAAACTCATCTGAAATTTGGTAGTTTAGAAGAGAATAAATACTTACTTTAGTGTACTCATAGTTAAAAAAAGATATGCATCCTGCATTATGGTTCAAAAAAAAAGCCAGACTGCAGATGGCCTTAATATTAGATTGAATTGGTAGTTGAATAATGCTCTCAGACATGTCCCCTTTGACTGTTGGATGTCCCATTTCAAAGTGGCTCTCTAAGACTGAGCATTATCCCAGAAGAGGCCAAGAAAAGCCTCCTGGGACAGAAAACATTCAGGCCCTCATCAGTCATATATTTAGCCTAGTTGCCTAAACTTGCCTTCTGCAAGTCTCCTAGGAATCTTCATAGTCAGAAGAGGTATTTCTGCTTCATTTGGCAAAGAGCAATGTTTGTATTCCTTAAAATGTTCCACATCTTCCATTTGGATCAACAGTACAGTAAATGTCCTGTACAAGGTGGCCAGTGATGCTGGCAGACTTCACTACAGCCCTGACAAGTGGCTGATAGAAGGCATTTTCCAGATATGAATTCCACCTGTAGCTGCCTTCATCACAGGCTTCACTCTTTGTCCTGCTCCTGTGTAGTATTTACCCACAACATCGGAAAGATGTAGACCAGTTGGAGCGAGTCCAGAGGAGGCCACAAAGATGCTCAGAGGGCTGGAGCACCTCTCCTATGATGAAAGGCTGAGAGAGTTGGGCTTGTTCAGCCTGGAGAAGAGAAGGCTCCGGGGAGACCTTATTTCAGCCTTCCAGTACCTGAAGGGGCTAAAAGGAAGCTGGGGGGGACTTTTTACAAGGGCCTGTAGTGACAGGACAAGGGGTAATGGGGTTAAATTGAAAGTGGGGAGGATTAGATTGGATGTCAGGAAGAAATGCT